TACAACTTCCTTGTGAAAAATATGTAAATTTAAAAAAAGTTAAAGTAAATATAACATGATAAGACTTCTAAAAAGGAAAGCCTTTTTTATATTGGTTTCAAACTAGCAGCAACCAACTAAATTTGTCTTTGGTTTATATATTCTCTTTAATTCCTTTTTTAAGATAACTGATATTTTAATTATAAGATGTTGCATGTGCCCGCTAATATGCCATATCCTTTTCTAGCATACATTTTGCTCTTTATTGAAATGCACACAACTTTTCACTTAAAAAATAGGCATTTATTGATCTTACATGTAGTTCTCACAGTTAAATTATTTTTTTAATCTTTGACTTTATTATCTAATCCATATAGAAAACTACATACATGAAAAATTTAAATGTGAGTGATGGAAAAGAATTTTGAGTGAATTTTTTTGAAATTTGTTTTGCAATTACATTTGCCACTTGCAAGCTAAAAATTGGCATCAATTTCCAAAATTAACAGTAACTGTTACTGTGTTGCTATAATTCAGATTTTTTTTTTCACTTGAAAATTTACTTTCACTTGGAAATTTATAGATTGAATTCATTATTTACTTTGAAGTGTTTATTTGTTGAGGTGAATGCATCTTATATCCAGCACAGTTTGAAAGCATTAAACAATTTTAGCCCTGGCATCTTAACAATATTTTGATTTTAAATCCCTCGTTCATTTAGATAATTTGTTTTTCTAGAAAACCAATTTTAGACAAATAAATTAAATTTTATAAATGTTAAACTTTTGCATTATTTTTTCAAAGCATGTTTTATATAGTAGCTTATTAATATTGGGATGCATAGTGCTATGCATGTTTTTATGTACAGTGAAACTTGTCTAATCTGAAGTCATGCATTCCAAAATCTTCTCTAAGACAATGCAAACTTTGAGTCACTTTCAATAATTTCATTTATTTGAAATGCTGTTTAGTTCAAAATGTTGTCTTAATATGGCAGATTGATTTGGAACCAAAGGAGTTCGGATTAGACAAAGTTTACTGTGTAATGTGATGCAGCGTTTTGATAATTTAAAAATGCTATTTTTTTTTGTCGTTGATTTATTATTGAAGGCACATTGCTACGGAGTTAATTCTCCTTGCTCTCATCAGTTGCTGTCCACGGTAATATTATTCTGCCTTCTCTCAGCCACAGAGCTTGATGCTGCCCTAAAGCTTTATTAACATTGGAACTTTAGAGATCTACAAAATTAATTTATTCTTAACAAGCAGATTGCTAGTTTTAGAATGGTTTATGAATGGATCAGTCTTCAAATTCCTACAAATATTGTTGAATGTTTGAATTAAGAAAAAATTAAATTAACTCACCTTATATTGTTTACGGGAACTGTAAAATTAGACAATGACCCAGAATCATTAACTTTGTCTTACAGGTCTAGAAATTTACAGCATGATATCGTTTTATCATTTAAGAGGAGAACTTTTTTTTAAGAACTCAATTTATAAATGAATATGGCTTGTCAAATGTGCAAAAATTTTTGAGATAAATTTTTAAAAAGTTATGCCCCTTCTATTAAAGTTGAAGCAAACATACATAATGTTAATGTAACAAATTAAGTTTGAATGATATTTGGCAGAATTAATTTTTGAAAAAGTAAGCGTAGATTTGACATGTTTTTTGATATACTGTAAATCACTTTTTATTCGCGAGAACTTTATTTTCGCGTAATTACGCGAGACGGTGTGCTCGCGAATATTTAATTCTCGCGTATAATAGTATTCCTTATGATTATATAGAGCAATAACCACAATTCGTGAAAATTTGTGCAAGAGTCAATGGCTATCTCGCGAAAATAAGGTGTCGCGAAAATTTAGTGATCTACAGTAGCATATATCAATTATGTTAACGTGATAATTTGTTTTCATGTCTATATGTGCAAGACAATTAAAGCGTTGTACCCTTTATAATTAGTGGGAAATGCTTTCTGCAGAAAATACTAAAAAGAAAACACTGACAGCTAAATTCTATACAATTTTACAGATTCAGAAATTATAATGAAAATAAGTCTTACTTTTTCTGGTTATTTATGAAAAAAAAAAAAGATTGGATGTTTTTACTGAAAAAAATAAATATCTACCGTCTACGTATACGAATAACACTAATCTTCTAATACTCATAACTGCAGAACTTGGTGAGAAATACACAATTTCTGGCCCACACATGTAGATGGATAAAATTTCTTATTTAAGCAAAAATTTTATTATATACATGTACTTAAGTTTCTCAATGCACACTATAAAAGATCTGAAATTAATAATCACATACCAGCATGGTATATATCAGAGGCGATCTAGAATGCACGCATAGGCTAGAAAACGTACAATTTTCAGTGAAAGCACCATTCGATAGCATAATTTGACTACCAGTAGAATTGTAGTTGCTTTATTTGCTTTGTGCAGCTTATTGTTTAATAAAATAATTTTACTCTATATGCATTGCTTTTTGTAATGTTAAAGCAATAGGAAGTATGAATATCAATAAAATATATGTTAACTTGTCAAATATACTAGTCTTGTTTTGTTTGATTATCAAGATAGTTAACACCAATGATTCAGAACTTGTTTAATACTTTTCTTACAAGTATACAATAGATGATTGATTTAATTTTATTTCTTAATTAATTTGATTTTTTTTTCATTTCAGAAAATGAATTTAAGACTTTTATTATTTAGTGTTTTAATTTTATTATTTAAGTTTGTGATTTAAAGAAATATTATCTAAAAACTCATTTATGAAATAAATAAGATTTTCTTGTTAATCTGAAGTGATTCAGATATATGCAAAAATTTTTCTATACGAAAGTTTTTTTTCCTGAATTACATAGTATTATACTGATCATGTTACATTGGTACCATAATTTGCAATAATTTAAAGATTTTTTTTTCTTCAAAAATTGTATCTACTTATTGCAAAAAAGAATTAAATCAGACATCAATTGAAAATTTTCTTTCCACCAATTTTACAGATGTATGAAGGAGAACATGTGACCTGGTTTTCCTTGATTTCATTGGACGGTATAACCCTCTCCATCATCAATGAAGTTTATGAGGAAGTTGCTCTGGTCAGCTTGACCAGTCTACCGGCCAGCTGGGAAATTGAGGTCAAAAACAAGTGGAAGATGTTGGAGGACATCACCTTGGTAACTTGGCTGGAGGACCAATGGAAGAACGGTGTGGATCAGGCCAGCTGGGATACCAGGATAGAGGTAGTGAATTATGGGTATTATGTGAAGCGTGCTGGGATACCAGGATAGAGGTAGTGAATTATGGGTATTATGTGAAGCGTGCTGGGATACCAGGATAGAGGTAGGGAATTATGGGTATTATGTGAAGCATGCTGGGATACCAGGATAGAGGTAGTGAATTATGGGTATTATTTGAAGCATGCTGGGATACCAGGATAGAGGTAGTGAATTATGGGTAATATGTGAGGCATATGCTGGGATACCAGGATAGAGTTAGGGAATTATGGTTTATATGTGATGCAGGTACCAAAATAAAGTTAGTGAATTATAAATTGCAGATACATTTTGTAAAAACTGAAGATGGAGTTAGGGAATTATGGGTAATATATGATTCAGACTTGGGTTTTGTTTGCTTGATCTGTTGGTAATATTTAGCAGTCACTTATACATGCAGCCACCAAGTGTAGGTGGAGAAAATTCTGCCTTAATATTAATATCTTTGTGTATAAGCAATGAATCTGAAACAGGATAGACATTTTTGGAAGTTATATTTTTTTCATGATTGTTTATATCTATATAATAATGAAAGACATTTTGTAACATGTGGATATTGTAAATATTTAGGTGGATTTTAAAAACATGAGAATGACAAAACCTTACATTGGAGACCTGAGAAGAGTTGCCTACCCTGGGCTGTATTTTCAGCATAGGATGTCAGAACACCAGACTCTATTACATGCTCGAGTATACAAAATACAGGTAAAATACTGTAGACGTACTTTTATCCATGGGGTCATAATCTCAATTTCTGTTTAATCTGCATGTAGAAAATTATGCGGATTTAATTCCTAGAATGTCACTATATGCCTTACATTTACATAAAGTACGCTTGGACAAAATTCCGCAAAAAATTTGTGACGGTGTACATAGGGTAAATTAATACCTGATGCAGAAAATGTACTTCTACAGTATACAAAATACAGGTACCTGCACCTTAAATTTATAATGCCATTATACAGGTACATTTAAATATAATTTTGCCAGAATATACAAAATACAGGTACATTATACATAATATAGGTACCTTAAATTTATAGTATTAAATACATAAAATGTATTGTAAGTTAAACTTTTAAAGCTATATATAGCATATCTGAGGTAAAAAAATAAAAATACAAGATTGAGCGCAGATCTACACAATATTTTTTATTTACATTCAAATTAAAATTTTCATCTAGTATATTGACTTTAAACTATGTCTGATATTTATTTCTGAGTTGGAAATAATTCGGTTATTGTTTTAAATTCTGCAATAAGTTTGAAATGCAAATGATTTAAATTGTGAAATTTACAGGAAAGTGTTCTCTTTATATTAAGTAACAAAACAAATAGAAAGATTCTTTTGATTTTAGATAGTCAGAACAAAAATACGCCATATATCACTTTAAGGTAATAGAAGTTAAGAAAAATGAAGTATATTCTTGTGCACAAGTTGTCTTGTAATGACGTTAGTTTAGTGAACCTTAAGCCTAGCATTTGGGTATCTGAATCAAAACAGGCATGCAACTTCAAATTTTCTCACATACCAGCTAATTAAACACAGTGGAATATGTGATTTACACTTTTGCAAAATTAAAGTTTGTTTTAGATTGATAATCAGTTGTTAGATGCCTACCACCAGACTGTGTTAAGTTGTGTTCCTACGCCAGCCTACCTCGTCAAGAAAAAAGGACCCAAACCCTGTATAGAATTCGGGATGATTAGACGAGTTGTACCTGAAAATAATGTTGATACATTTAGGTAAGTGTAGACAAGACTAGTTTCTTTGCTTGTTTGAATGTTGTTTAACGTTTTATCTTGAGAATTTTTCACTCTTATGGAGAGGCCACCACTTTCCGATGGAAAGCTACAAATTTTGTCATATACCTGACACTAATGACCAATGAGCAGTGAGGGATCTTTTTTGTGTCAGCACTTACTGGGACATGGGACCTCGGTTTATACGGTCTCATTTGAAGGACCGAACTGCACTTCCACATTAAAATCAAATTGATGAATTCAGACAAATTTTAGCAACAGGAATTTATATACCTTGGATATTGATATAACCAATCAATTCATTGTGCATTTAAATTATTGAGCTTCTTTTTTTTTTTTTATTTTCTGCAGTTTAACATCCAGAGTACATTACCGGTATAGAAAAATATAAACATTGTAGATTTTTATGTATACATATACCTGGTATATATATAATTAGGTAGTTATATAATATAAAAAATATGTCTATTTTATTTAATATGGGGATGTATATCATGAATACATAATATACCTGGTATACATGTACATGTATTATATATAATTAGATAGTTATATAATATAAAAAAATGTCTATTCCATGTAACCAAAGTGTTGATGTATATAATGTATATGACACATATATCTTATTTTTTTTTTAAATAAGTTGACAATGTTATATCATGTATAAAAATGACCATGGTTTTTTTGAACTGGATGTCCTCCATATTTAATGCAAATAAATAATTATTTTTCAAATATAGTATTTACAAATTAAATTTTTTTCATTAAATATTTAAAATTTACAATTTCTAGATGTTGGTATATATATACTGTTTTACAAGCAAAATGATGTGACATTTAAAGCTGTGTTTTCGGTACCAGAAATGCCTAATATAACAAAAATTGGATAAATTATTGAGTTTGATTAATAGGCGAATTAATAGCTTAATATAGTTTCTGCTTATGAAAGGAAATTTTGAATGTACAACAACAATGAAATGAATTTTTTTAATTTTCAGACAGTTTCAGTTGATCCTTCAGGAGCTAAGATTGGCCGTAGACTGGGGTTTTATTGAATCTATTCAGGATACATTCGCTGATCTTATGCCAACTGAAGCTACTGAAGTAAATATTTATATCTATATTCATTTACATTTTACAGTTTAATTTCTGAGATCTCATAATGGAATTATAAACTTTGAAATATCCAATATTTTGACTTTCTAATATCTGCAGTGAAGATGTTTCTTTTATACACCAAATTGATGATAATTAACAAATTAAGTCAAAAGTTATTTGTATGTCAAACATTTTGAATTTTCTTTTCCCAGAGTGCTAAATTACAATCGGACATTCTGGTTGCTCAGCGCCCTCTACAGGAAGTAGCCGAAGTTATGGTAACAGTTACATATTAAAATAATAACAGTTATTTCAAGAGAATTATGAATTTGCTCAGTTTTTTTAATTTTATAGGTATAAAAATTCAATAAAATATACTGCATACTTGTAAAATCTGTTTTAGGTTGAGAAACGGCCACATAGAATTTTCTTTGAGATGTTCAAGATTTCTCCAATCAAGGTTGTTATAAGTTCTGACAATGGATTTCTTTGCATTATACCCATTACACAATTTTTAAATCCTTTTAATAAAATTAATATATTTTTATTTTGTTTATTGTAAGTTTCTTATTGGAACATTGTATTTATAGGTCCATGTGAGTTTCTCTCTGCGGGGAACCCCCCACCTGACTCGGGATGTCCAGCCAAGTGTAGCGTCTGACATCAAGGGATTCCTCCGGAATTCTATTGGAGCGACCTTCACTGAGGTCAAAGACATTGAGCTCAAGTAAGAAATGACATTGAAAATTTTACCACATTATATTTTGTCATCTTTCAATTTTAGAAATTTAATAAGAATTTTAAAAAACTTTACTAATTAAGAATCCAAAGACTTGTTCATTCTTGTCTGATGCATACCATTATTTCAATGTAGTAAATCCTGATTTTTATTTTTTCCATCTAATTACTCTAGAATTTCTATTTTTCTTTCAGGCTGGGTTTCTTTGAGCAGCGAGGTGTCCTCCTATCCTCACTACAGATGCAGACCCAGGCTCTCTCTCACTACCGCCAGCAGCTGATGCTGCAGATCTATGTGGTTATTTTTGGTCTAGATGTTCTAGGAAACCCCTACGGCCTCATCAAGGACATCACAGAAGGACTAGGGGAGCTATTCTATGAACCTCTGCTGGTAACTAGGGTTGTTTTTTTCCTCTCTAGTATTATTTTTTTACTCAATTGAGGTGCCACAAAAAGGAGTCCAAATTAATTAAAATAAAAATTGATTTGCATGAGACTATTATTTCAGAAAAGTTTAACAGCTGAAAATCTAGGAATTGACGAGTGTTACATGTAAACAAATCAATCAAAATTATTGTAAACATTAAATCTTTAATCTCATTTTCTGTGTTAATTAACAGGACACAATACAAGGAGAGGATGCCTTCACCAGTAACATGGTCAGGGGATTTGAGAATGCTATGGGTCATATCGTAGGTAAGAGAAATGTTCTTCTAAGTCCTTAAACATTGTACAGTATAGTTAATGTTTAACTAATCACAGAGTATGATTTCCTAAAAGATAGGTCCTGTCTTTTATGAATATCTTTGATTGGTTTTTATAGGAGGTACAGCTAACTCTGTTGCCAGGATTACAGGAACTCTGGGGAACACACTGGCTTACTTATCCATGGATGACGAGTTCCAAAAGGTAGGGACTTTTTTGCTTTGCTCCTTCTCATTTCTTCTTTCCTGGATACATTTAGGTACTGTAGAATTAAAAGATGTAGTAAAAATATTCTCTCAACAAATGCACTGTTAAAAGGGATGTTTGCATGATTGATTGTTAATTTTCCAAAGGATCATGCAAAACTTGCCATATGGCTTCAAACATTTGAAATGTTCAAAAAGATAATCTTCTAAGAAGCTGCATTTTACTGTATATGAGCTGAGTAGAATTGGTTTCTATTGACCTTGTAGAGAAGAGTGCGTCGGTTACAGCAGCAGCCCCGGAATCTCCCACACAGCATGGCTATGGCGGGGAAGGGGTTCCTGTCGGGGATGAAGTTTGGTCTCCTGGGGGTGGTGCTAGATCCTGTACATGGTAGGCTTATTTTAATTATTAATTATAGTAGGGATAGACCATAAATCAATTTATTTTGAATTGTAGTTTTAGAAAAAATGTAAAAATAAATAAAAATTAATATAAAAGTAAATTAGTTGAAATAATAGATTTTTTTATTTTTAATTTACTTTGTACAGCTAGGAGCTTTGAATTTCTCTAAAAAAAAGGTGTTTCAGGAATTCATTAAACAAACGGTTGGCAAATGAATGCATATGATTGGAATATACATTTATTTGTACATTCATTTTATACTTTGGACTTTTGCCTATAACTTCTTAATTATATTGAATACTTGTAAATCCCTTGTATTGTCATTGTTCTGTATTTATTTGTAGGTGCCTCTGAGGAGGGTGTTGAGGGGTTCTTTAAGGGGATCGGTAAGGGGTTACTGGGACTGGTCACTCAGCCCCTGGGGGGTGTGATGGACATGGTCAGTCTGGCCTTTGATGGAGTCCGCAGGTAAAACAAATACTGATACATACCTTACATATTGGTCATTTATAAATTAAATATAGTCAAATATACTAAGACCTTTTTTTTTTGTTAAAAAAATTTTAAACGAAAAATATGTTTCTTCAACACATGTGGTGTATTTATACTTGAATATTTTTATTAAAAATTTCAAAAAATTACATACCAATAACTTGGTTTTCTATCTAAGCCCTAGCTAGGCTAATAACATATTATCTGTTTACATTGTACATGTACCTGCACATGTGCCTAGTAGTATATCCTTTAATTTATGCTGTGTCTTCCTCAGATCCACCGAATCCAGTAGTTTTTGTTTTTTTTTGAAAATTGATAGTTCATCTGTTTTTTTTCTTGACAGGTCTGCTGAGAATGATGTAGTAGCCATAAGAATGAGATTACCCAGGTTTATTAACCCTTACCATGTAGGTTGAAATTCGCAGTTCCTTTGGAATACTATCAAATTGTTTATAACCATAGTCTTTTAATTATTGACTAAACTTACTAGCCAATTAATGTTAATATCAAAAAGACAAATACAAATACATTTCTTTTTAAAATAATGTATTAATACATAAGATACAACATGATCTATGTTTTTTTATACCCAGGGTTTAGAGCCCTACTCGTGGTACAGGGCCCAGGGTAACTTTATCCTACACAGACTCCGGGATGAGCAGCGATCCTCCGGGATCTTTGTAGACTTCGCTCCTCTGAGTTATGATGACAGAGCAGATCTCCTCTTTATCACTGACAGGTCAGAGTTCTCTTTTACTCTTACATTCAACATCATTCACTTAAAAAAGCACACAGTATATCGATTCTTTGCTTCATGATATTTGAAACAAGATGCCTGTGAATAATTCCTATTATATACAGACCCTGAGACGTGCTACTACCCCAAAAAAGCGTGTGGCTTTCGTGCGCTTTCTGTTTCGTGCAAACCGTGTAGCGTTTCGTGTAAACCGTGCAGCGTTTCGTGCAAACCGTGTAGCGTTTCGTGTAAACCGTACAGCGTTTCGTGTAAGCTCCAAAGCGTTTCGTGCAAACCTTGTAGCGAGCGTGCGAAAAGCGTGTGAGAAACGTGCGACTTTCGTGTAAGAACCGTGTGAGAAACGTGCGACTTTCGTGCAAGAATCGTGTAAGATTCATTCGGATGTCATTTCATTTTAAATATGGCTATCGATGGGTCAGGATGTAAAATTCTATTAGTATTTTATAATTGAATTAGTTATGCTTGTGATATTATAGGAGTAAAAACAAAAAAAAAAAATGGAACAACAAAATGAAAATAAAACGGTAATGTACATGATGATTTATATTTGTTTGATTTCTTTTCCTTCTATAGAAAATGTGTTCCGATAAATCAGCTATGTACAACAATTTTAAGGGCATTGTATTCAATATACTATATGTATCAAAGCGATCGTGACTTCTTAAATATTTTTTCTCAAAGAAAGAAAGAAATACCGGTAATATATATTTTTTTTATTTAAATCTAAAATATATCAGGACTCCGCTCTTGTCTTTACATTTGAAACGATTTGTCATTTCATATCTTTTAATACATAAAACTTGTTGTTCATTATTGTTAAAAATTGATTTTATAATTTTAATTCACATGCACTGACGACCATATCTTTATAAACGAGGGGGGGGGGGTAAATTAAATTGCTAGTACAGTCTTTCATTTTTTGTTGTAGCTTTCAGTCTAATGTTAGTTTAATTAAATGCTTAGTTTTCTATTTTTGTTTAAATTTGTTGTTAAATGTATGCGCAGATACACCCCTTAAAAATTTATTGGAATCTTCTTTCCACCTTTCAACTGTGATCAAGGTCATTTACAACAGCGATCACGGGCTCCGAGTGCAATTCAACTGAAAACCTGTTTTGCTATATGTACATGTTAAGTTCACGGCTTAATGACACCTGAAAATTACGACTGGATTTTATTTTTTTTTAAATAAAATGGTTCTATAAATATTTGATGGGTACAACTTATAAATCAGCGGATTTCATCTTTTATTTGTAAATCAGAATTTCTAGCCGTAAACAGTAAAAAATAAACAGAACTGATTTGGTAGTCTTTTTATGAATATCATGTAAGAAAAGCTTAGGAGTAAATCATGAATAATTGTATATTATTTGTTTTATAACTCACGTACTTTTTATTTCATCTAAAATATTTCAGTTTTCTTGTAATATACCTGAATGCCGGTGTCAATTTTAAGATTGATCTATATTGTATGAACAATGTATAGTCAAATGCCGCGACTATTAATAAATGTACACATATAAACATACGTTTAGTCCTGTTTTGAAATGAAGGATTTTACAGTAAGATGGGCATGCTGATGTTAAGGTTCATGTAAAAGAGAAAGAGAATATAATAGATTAATAGATCACATTACCCCCCCCCCTTTACCGGTTTCCCTCCTATTGATAATGCTTGCGTAAAAAAAATCTTTAAAAATGTATCAATAATCGTTATTACAGTATATAGGCAAATTTAATTTATAATTTAAAATCAAAATCACAAAAAATAATCCGCCTTCAGAAATCAAACACAATATAATCAATATTATTAAAAATCAATGAGTTATATTCCTGCAGTGAGAAATCGAATTTGTGTTCAATTTAATTATTAAATCAATTTATCAAATTATACTCGTAAAAATATTACATTGAAATCAATAACTAATACCTGTATCTAAAAAATGTATTTTATTAAACAGTCATTCACGATATCGGCATTTCGTTTTTAAACAGTTGGATAAATAAATAAATAAATTCGAACTGACAATTATTTATCAATTAATTACAACTGTCAGAGTATTAAATATTTCTATCGGTTTTTATAATACAAGTGTACTAAATTTAATTTAAACAGCTGCTTAATGTGGCTTTTTGAGTGATTTTCATTGAATTATTGATAAGGCGGTAAAAATGCCCGAGATATTCCGAGTAGAAAAATCCAAACCGTGCGAGAATCGTGCACAAAGCGTGTGAGAAACGTGTACAAAGCGTTTCGTGCTGCCTTTCGTGTAAACCGTGCAGCATTTCGTGCAAAACGTTTCGTGTTAACCGTGTAGCATTTTGTGCAAACCGTGTAGCGTTTCGTGTAAACCGTGCAGCGTTTCGTGCAAACCGTGTAGCGTTCGTGTACCGTTCGTGCAGCGAGCGTGTGGGGTAGTAGCACGTCTCAGGGTCTGTACTTATGCAATTGTATCTTATAACAGATTTAAATTTTAATTTAATTCCCATTACATATGAATATTAAAATTCAGAGCTTCTGAATTTGATATTTGATTATTTTATAAGAAAATAAATGTTAATATGTAAAATGTGTTTTTACAGAACAATTTTGAGCTTGTCAAAGAATCGGTTTTCCCCTGGGTATGACGTGAAGTGGGAAGTAGAACGGGAGAGGATTATGGGAATTCCAGAGGTGACAGAAAATAAAATAGTCCTTACTCTGAAGGTTAGTTTTGTCTAGAGACCTAACTTAAGATATACATGTACTAGTAATCAAATATACAAACTCAAAATCAAGTTATAATTATTGGCACAAGGTACTAATATTAACTTTTATACAGTGTGAATATTCTTTGAAGTTGAATAATATTTTCTTCAGTTTTGTATCATTTTGACTATAGAAAAACTAGTAAACTTATTTTGCTATCACAATTATATGTATCCAAAAAATATATCAAGCTTCTAGTATAATTATATGAAAAAAATTCAAATTTAAATATTCCCACAGTTAAAAAGATCTAGACTAACAGGTAAGAAAACGTTCAGGGTAGATAATAAAAATTGATTACTTTTCGTTTTGAAGGACAAAAAGGGTTCATTATTCTCTGGGAGTACAATAGAGATCTCTAGTCCTAACCCTGAAATACTGAGGTGGATCCAGGATCGCATGGAGCGTATTGTCAGACAACAGATCTAAGCAGTAAGTTACAAAGTCTCGTGGAAGTTTTTGAGCAAAGAATTGTTTTCAATGTTTGTATAAAGTAAAGAATATAAAACAAATTAATATTTTCATGTGATTGATATTTTGATGTGTCTTACAATATTTGTGTGATTCTTTATTTTCCAGGTTGTCAAAAAGTGCTGTGGATTTATTTGACATGAACAAAAGAGATTGATGTTTGGCTGTGATTTTTAGAAATTGTATATTGACTGCAAATTCCAGTAGCATAATAGCTGAGTGTTTGTTGTTTTGACATCTCATATTTCACTTTTTTGCTGTATGTTGATGATGGGTTAGCTATTCTTGTTGCCATAAGTACACTGTGTAATATAAATATTAAAACATTATGTTTTAAGGGAAGTCCTTGGTTTATAAACAGGACATGCTTAACATCATAAAAATTATAACATGTAGTCAATTTATTGTGATATACACTCAATGTGCAATACCTTTTAACAGCATTTTACAGTTGTTTTTTGTTTACCTTGTATGTATGTGTTTATGACATTCCAGGATAACATGTCCTTTTTGTCTATTAGAAGTATTCATTAATTGTATATTGTGGTACACACCCTCCCAAATATAGGACTTTGAGTAGTAATGATCACAGGTAGTTTAAATTCATTTATTTCCAAGTTTATAGTCACATACAATAAACTAGCCAGTTGCATATCTATGAAATAAAAATTAACTGACTTGGAAAGGGGAATATATTTAACTAAAATGCTGCATTCTTCTGGGAAGATACTATTAATAATTATTTTTTCTGAATTGTAAAGATCGGGAATTGAAATTAAGGTCATTTTCCAGTGGGAAAGTACAGCACTGTCCTAAATATAGCTGAGATTAATGTATTTAATTTTAAAACCAAATGCTAGGACTATACAGTTCAATTTCATTAATACCCCAAACTCTGATATCTTGAATATACCATTAATATTCAGAAGTGATTATTATGAAGTCCAACCCACTTGTTCTTTAAAAATTTAACCCTCGAATCCTTGGATATCTTGATTTTTTTCCCTCCAGTTGAGTTGAAAAAACTTTTTAGTTAATGAGGTTTCAATGCTTGCACATGTGTTGATCTGTCAATAGGAGCAAATGGAACAAATGATAATGACTAGATTTTCTGTGATATATGTATACAGTGCTGTTTTTATAGGTTTCACAGATAAAGGATTTTTCATGATTACCTTATATAAACACAATGATTTTAATGCATTATCATTTTGTATATAAGTTAAATATAAATTCATATTAAAAATCAGGCTGATATTTTTTGCAAAAGATATTTCTTCTCTTATTATAAACATTTCCAGTTATTGAACATATTAAACTCTAACTTTAAACAAGATAAAATTATATTTTTCATTTAAAAAAAGATTGTACACACTGTGTTGTTACTCATTAGTACATTTATCTAGAATACTTGACATTCAGATTATATTGCACTTCGTTATTTTCATGTTAAACGTACAAGACTACTGTTTTATACAAATTGCACTTTAACCTGTACATTTTGGAATTGACCTGATGAAGTAATTCAGACTTTCCCATCATTTATTAAAATAAACTGGAATATGTATTTAGCAAATTTGAAGGATTTGTTGTTTTGCACTTTACTGGTCTAATGTTTAGTGCGTGTAGAACCGAGATTTGGGTATTTAATGATCATTATTAAACATTTACCATTTATATATTTGGTTCATTGGTTAAGATTTTTTTCTACTTTGTTTACAATGATTTGTTAGCCAGAGAGAATTATGTTGTTATTTACTTTAATTATTATTGCTTTGTTAATAAAGAAACACGTATTTAGATTACCGACATTGTTATTTGATATATATACTACAAAAGTTGGAGATACGGAAATATACACAGTACATATAAAATGGATTTCGGTCTACCTGTGCTTGTTTATATATCCACAAAAAAACTTGAATCTCGGCCAGAATTTTAACAGTAGGATCTGTAGCTTTCATCTTTCAAAGCTCATTCCCCATGCAGGATTTAAGATACCAGCCTTTTAACCGCATGAGTTTGGAGTTTGAGCTCTTTTTGAAAATACATGTATGAGACCATATGGAAACATGATTGATTCACAAACTTGTCTGGTTTACAAGAAATTGGTCAAACGCAAACTTTGTGTTTTTAAGTTACAAACTTTCAGAACTTTTTCTAATGCAGAAAATTTGTCTTTAATCGGATAATTTTAAAGTGACTTCAGAAAATATAATCCACTAAAAAAGAAAAATTTTGAAACACTGTATGTTAAGACTTTTTTTGAAAATTGAATTATAGATTTCGAGAACCTGAAGGACAGACAAACTAAACAAGAACTCGGTGATTTACATAATTTTATCAGCTGAAGGATGTCAGTTTATTTTGAAACAATGTTAGTACTTTTGGATGACCTAATATTTGTGCACTAAAAGGAAATGGCAACCCTAAAGCATGATTTGTACCTTAGGTCAATGAAAAGAAATTTACTGCGCTGTAACAGTATGTTCATGTCAACCTGATCATCTGCCAGAAAAAAGGTCAACACGAAAGGTCTGCATATGATGAGAAAATCGTCAGTCAATGCATCAAAGTTCAAGACTGCAGATAACCTCCACCGCAAGAAGATCGAATGGTTAAGAAACCAAGGTCATTATAATAATAATGCATTCTTCAAGTGTCAAAACAATGTTAAGATTGTTTGTTTTGTTTTCACTTTTTTACGCTTCTGCTACAGAATCAGAATATGAGAGCCTTTTACTGCGTCTGGAGAAGCTAGAGAAAGACGTTCGTGAAGAAGTTCAGGAGACAGAGGAACTCCTGGGTTTACTGCAGGATAACCACAGAGAAGAGAGAGCTGCTCATCAAGGTACATATGGTGCTATCAATTATATTGGCTTTTTAAAGGTCAAGTACTCTTTGGAAATTTTAATAATTGTAGCTTAAAGAATTTTTCACGGTCATGGTTACAGATTAAAATTCAGCAAATTGCATCTGTATCTACATGTAACAGATAATAAAACGTGTATTTATTTTAATTTAATGGTATTTCCAAAATATTCTTTTCTTTGACAAGCTTAATAAGACTTAATATACTAGTATTTTTCTTCTAATCGAAATAAGTTATTTTAAATTGAAATTAGTTTATATCATTTTCTGTTTCTTAATTTATTATAACATCTAAAATTTCCACTCTAGGATGCAATGGAGATGTGGTGGCTTTTCACGCTCAGTTAACGACTACAACCGTGTCTCTCTCTTCTGGTGAAGTTATCAAATTTAACAAAGTAATAACTAATGTAGGAGACGGCTACAACAGCTCCACGGGAATATTCACGGCGCCAGTGTCTGGGTACTATGAGTTAACCGCAACCATAATGGCACAAAGTAGCAACACTTTAATAACTCGTATTGTAGTGAACGGTGTAAGTGGAGTTTGTTATTCCTACAGTTCAAGGTACCAATCCCAGGGAATGTGTAACATGATATATTATTTGTCGAAGGGACTCACTGTAAAAGTTATTCAATATTCAGGGTCAGCTCTGTACGGTTACGGATTCTCTTCATTTTCAGGACATCTTGTTGGCTGAATATACTGAATTGATAACATGTACTCATTGTAATAAAGATTGAAGTACTTAAAGAATTATATATTGTTATTTCCGGGGACTCGACATTTCAATTCATATAGTGTCTATATGGCACACCAAATTCAAAAAATAAGCTTTAATCATAGTTTCACAGTTGATACTAGATTTATCGACTGTAAAATTGTAAACTATAATTTACGGATTGTAAACAATAGTTAGCGATGATAATCTGTTTTTCACATCTGTATACTATAGTTTACGCAATAATATATTTTTTTTTTTATACAAGCGTTAAGTATAATTAACACTTAAAGCAATCATTTACGACTGCAAAACATAGTTTATCTGATAAATATAGTTTCACGATTTGTAAATTTTAGTTTACATCTCTAAACTATTCTTAACAAATGTAAATTATAGTTTAGAGTTTGTAAAATATGTAAAATATAGATTACAGACATCCAAAGCACGCTATTTACAAAAGTGAGATAAACATACAGTGTAGTTTGACATTTTAGGAACAGTTTATGAACAGAATCTCTTATTTTGTAATGGAGATGCACAATTTTCTGTGAAACTAGATTTCCCGACTCTAAACATTAGTTTACGATCAAAACTATAGTTAACGATACCTTTTTCCTAAAATTATATAGATAGGTTATTCCTAGTTTTAGCATTAGAAGACTTTGCTATGCAACGACTATTTTCAGTGGTTGCTAAATGTATACGCATGTGTCACAAAGTAAATTTTACCAAATTTATTTAAAATGTAACAGAATTTTAATTCATAAAACGAATTATTTTTAAAGCCTGTTTTTAACATATGTCGAAAATTATTTATCAATCAATTAATGTTTAGACAGTAAAAAAGGAATTTGTCACTCAATATTTATTTAAGGAATTAGTGTCAATCCTCTACCTCAAAGAGTGTCCGACTTGTATGTGTGATAATTGCGTAAATGTGTTTCAATTGAAGTTAGAGTGAATCCCTTACGTTGTGTGAGAGAGTTAGTTTTAGATCCGCCGTGGACAATCCCGGACGTGAATATTAGATGCACTGGACATTCCGTCATCAAGAAAAATATAGTTTTTCTCTGGACTTTTCCGAGTTACGAAAACGTTTGTGTGTGTGTCCGTGTGTGAGCGTTACAACTCGTCTTTGTTTTATGTGACTTGACTTGATTTATTTTTCAAAATACAAACTTTAACTTTTTCTTGCTTTACTTTCGTTTATTAAATTTTCATCACAAGTTCACTTGTGTTACATGTTTATTTCTTGTTGACATCAAAAGTAAATGTTCTCTATTATTTTTATAAAAATAAAAAGGATTTAAAAAGCGTGTTACTCGTTTTTCATAATCCGACTGATCTCATTCTCTGGATTTTGTGGAGGTACATGGATGACTCAATTCCGCTATTTCTATTATTTTATAGTTCCTAAATTTGCGGACCTGAGCTGCCAACAGGTGTTTGGGAGTGGAGATGTAACCCAACCTATATAAAATGCAACCAAGACAGTCAAGATTCAGCTTTCCACTCTTTATTAAACGAAACAATCTATTTGTTATCGCCATGATTACAGTAAATATTTTTTTATACAACATGTACAATATACTATAAATTATACTAAACATTACTAGTTATGGTATAAAAGATTGTAATCTGTAACTAAATTAAGCCATGTGAAAATTTAAATAATTTGACAAAAACCGCGCAACTACCTGCATAAAATGCAACCAAGACAGTCAAGATTCAGCCTTCCACTGAAACATGTCTATCCCAGCGGCTCATTTTATACTAGGTGTACCTTTGTAGATTTACATATCCATACATGTATTTGTAACTCCTTCGAAATTTGCAATAATTACTTTAAATTTTAATTTCAATTTATTTACTATTGTAACTTGTAAACCTACTGGGTTCTACAAGGGACAAGGGTTCTTTATTAATATATATATATATATATATGTTTTTCCTCTTACTCTATTTGAGTTATTATGGATTGGAACTATGTACAATTAATTTAAATGGTAGACCGTGGTTCCTGAGCAAGATAACCTGTGCTGTGTTCCTGGAACAGCCAGAGTTCCTATTGTTAAGTGAAGTACCAGGTTCTTTCACTCTTATGCAGAATTACTTCGCCCTGGTACCTCACCACAATTCCTCTAGACTGTTCTCTTTCCACTACTGCTTCTAACCTTTGCTCTTTTATTTCTCAAATAATGCCTTTATTACCTTGCGCTTTATTCTTCAGTTTTCTTCTGATGATCTCTACAACTGATTCCGTCAGAATAATGCCTTGCAGCTGCGAGCGTCTCATTTATATACCTTTGGAGCATTCTACCTACTCAGAGGGGTGATCAGCCTATTGGAAGAGTCCATTTTCAATATCCCCTCTGACTCGACTATAGTAGGCATGGCCAAATACGCTACCCATTACACTACCTACGCCTCCATGAACATGCGTCTCGCATGTCAAATGATCAACGAACTTAAACTTCTTTTTTTTTTAAACTTTTCTTTTTAGTAGCGACAAACATACAAAGTTACATATATACATGGATACAGTGTTTGAACAAGGGGGAATATCTTTCCTTAAATCAAATTAAAAATACTTCTTGTATCTTATTGAGCAATATGTACACAAAACTGTTTCAAACACTGTTTTCATTTTTCTCATGTTCTCATGCGTTCCAAACTTCTTCCTCTAACTTCTCAATGCTTTCTCCGTCTTTCTTGTATCTTCTGATGACCCTTACCGTTTTCTTGTGACTGCCTCCATCAGTTTGTACACGCTCTTAGAACTCAGAGTCTTGCAACAGGGACAATGGAATGGCAACGAAGCTGCACTTGAATCCTCAGAAATGTCTTTATCCAAAACACTTTCTGTAGATGTATTGGGGACTGGACTCTCTTCCACAATTTTACTCTTCATCCCAGGTAAGCAAGGTGCTGTTGCTTTTCTAATGGTTCTTCCAGATTCAAGGTCGGGATCAAAGATGAGTTCTCCTGGATCCTGCTTCCATGCCAGGTCATCGTCCATTTCTTCACTCACAGCAGCCACACAGCTAGTAACAGTCGCAGATGTGTTTGCTGTGGGTGTAGTGTGTACTCTCTTTTGATGTCGGACGAGAAGTGACGGTTTTGCAAAGGCTTTATCACAAAGTCTACACTCGTATTGTCTTTTCTTCATGTCCTTAGATACACAAGTGATGAGATGTTCTCTCAAC